TTTCTGGGCTGTCGAACCGTGACGTCACCCGATAAGCAAGCCTTGCAGCTGCTATAACGTTTAGCCAAAACATGAGGAAAAGTCAAGGTGCGTGACTGTTGTTTTCGTGGTGTGTATCTAAAACAATTGGACATAACCTTACACATTAAGACAAATATTAAGACTAGCATTACAGTTGACACTAACAGCAGTTTTCCTGTAACCTTGACGTGCCTGCAGTCTGCACTGCAGGCTGAATAGTTAACAGCCTAAGCTAGTCACCCTGTCTGCACTAAACATTCATAGACAACAAATCTCTGAATATCTATCTAACTAAAAAATAACCTAACACCTCTCTAACAAACCTCTCTGAGTGCCGCTGTAAACTCCTCTCTAACGAACCTCTCTGAGTGCTGCTGTAAACCGCTCCTGTCTTGCAAGAAAGGAGCAAACCAAAAATAAGTGAACAAACCGAAAATTGCTATTAGATGTGCATGATACCTGGCTCAGTAGTATATTGTTAATGGGCTCCTGTGAGCTGAACAGAGGGATCTCTTGTAGTAAGGTGGCGTTCTGGCCAACTACTTCCACCTGATGGAGCTCCCCACGGTCTACAACACACACACACACACACGCATTTACTGTATATGGTCAACAAGTGACCTCATCTTTGATCAAAAACATAATTCATTTTTGTTTTCGCAATTAATTTATTTGCATATTTTGAGTAAGGTCATAAAAATTGGACTGATTTCCAAAATATTAAATCTTTCATGTTCATTATCTTCAGTGTCGACCATCACTTTGACTTTCTATCTTTCATTTTATCACTTCCTTCTCTCCTGACCTGTTCCAAGGTGCAGCACTACTCCTCTCGGCTGCACTTTGGTGTCTCTATGGTTTGCAGCCAGCTTGGTGTATCTGATTCCCTTCTGCACCAGCAGGGGGGCTGCAGTAACACTGTTCTCCATCAGAGGGTGGTCTCTCACAAACGTCAGCACCTTGTCTGGAAGTTTTAGGGAGGATTCAAATCCTTCAGCCTTTAATGCATTGTTCAAACACTATAAAATGTGGAGGGAAGGAGGAGAGAAACGTCATTTATTATAGTATAGTAGAATGTAACAAAGGCACTGTGTAAAGCATAGTGATAGAAGAGATCAGAGTTTTTGTACCTGGCCAGGCCGTGGTGTGGGGACAGGTTCAGGGTTGATCCAGTTCTCACAGGTCTTCCTCAGCTCTTTAAAGGGACCGTCCATCACTTTGTTGATATCAGACAGACTGAAAACACATACTGCTGACAGCTCTTCGTGCTCCCTAAGAAAGAGAATGGCTTCAGTCATTATGTTGTTACTTTTGGAGCAAATAAAGAGAAAGAGGTATAACAAAAATTCATTTTTTAAGGTTTTTAGCATTGTGTACTCTTTAATAATGACAAAATGCTGTAATGTCAATATTCCAGTGTCACATAATATCGAGGCTCTGGTTTGCACTTCACTTCTGCTTGTTTCTCAGCTTACCACTGGGAGGTAAAGAGTCCATAGAAGTGTGTGCTGCTGGGGTCGCCTTGTGTGTGTTGCATGGTGAAAACATCAGTCAGGATGTTGTAGCGCTGACCACTAGGTTTGTCCTCACACACCAGCTGGGCCTTGAGGAAGGTGGTCCAGCGTCGCTGCAGAGTCTTCATCCCTCCCACGTCAGACTTAACAGGCAAGAAGAGAAAGACAAGGTCAGCGAGATTTAACTTAATAAATGAATCAACCATTCAGTCGAGACATTGGGGTACCTTGCAGACTCGTGCCACCCTGGGGACTCTGACTTTAGTGTAGAGGTCGTACTCTTTGGCCACTTCAGTGAAGAAGAAGTAGATCTGGTCATCATCTCCCGCTGGGTTGCCATCAGATGAGTGCTCTATGAAGGCTGAGCTCACAAACTCTGGATCTGCACAACACACAAATGCAACCTCATTTATTCCTCTTTGATGAAGGAAATGCCATGTGAAACTGTGTGTGTTAGAGTGTTATGTGTGGATATTGGGGTAATGTGTACATATATGTCTCACCATTGAGCCAGTTGATGGATCGCTCTGTTCGGATGCGCTCCTGCTCAGGGCCCATTGCCCGGGAGATGTCAAACAGTGTTCCCAGGAAGTTACTGGTGGCTGCTGTGTACAAGGTACCACCTGAACACAAACACACACACCACAGTAAGATAATACCTTACATCAGACTAACATTCTTTCCAACCAGACAACAAACACCCAATCAATCAGCCAGCGGTCCACTTACCTGCCATAACAGCTGTGTAGTGCTGGCTGGGCTCAAAGGGACACTTGCCCTTCCCTGTCTCCATCTTCACCTCTCCATCCTCAGCTATCTCCAGGGTGAAGGAGGGGAGCTCCTGCAGGACAATTGGAAAAAGACACACAGAGGGTAAAATAAAAAGACAATACTGAATTGCTAAATGAATAATAGTAGTTATATAAATTATTTATATTCAAAGTTAATTACAGTGATAAAAATCAATGGTCTGAATTTGATTTTTACAGGTTGTCTTTTGGTTCACCATGCTGCTTACAATGTCATTATAACTGACTTTAATTATGTTCTATTATGCAAAGATTTTGTGACTTTAGTGCTCAAAGTACCTGCAAAAAAATGTCACTTGTAACAAAAGATCTAAAAGCTTTTGTTGGTTGACTGGCACCAAACATTTTTCTTATAATTACTGAGGGAAAGTATGTAATTATAAAAGAAATTATGTACAGTGTGCTACATGCCCCATAATGCCTCACTCAAAAATAAATTCACACTTGCAGACATGAACTAACAGGAGAATGGCCTCACATTACACACACACACACACAAAGACAAGGATGGTCAAGTCTACCCAATATGGGTGTGTAAACAGGTTTGGTCCATGCAGAGTAATGCCAGGCATACACACATGCACACAAACTAACCAGGAAGGCACACTGGGGATCAAAGGCGTAGGTGCCACAAACATAGATGCGTCCATCTTGCAGAAACTCCAGCAGGCGGATGTAGTTGTGGCAGTCAACCTGCAGGGGGACACAAACACCCAGAAATAAAGACTAGCTCAACCAGTTTAAATGATGCAGAGTATCTTCATATTTATTATACCTTACAGAAACTGTTGTAAATGACTGTTTATTTATAATTAAAAATCTTCAGTGTACATCTGTAATGAGTGCTTAGGGCTGCAGTCACAACAGTCAGAGTTTGTGTCACTATTTTAATAAGTGAGATACTGTAGTTTTAGATCATGTAGGTTTGGTCATAACCAGAAGTGTCACAAGTTTAGGAGGAAGGTTAGGGTGGATTCAAAGAGCAGCTAGAATTTCATTGACTTTGAAATTGGAAACTCCCACTGCTGGAAGAGAAACTTGAGACCCCCACTGAAACCAGCAGAGACCACCCCACTCACACAAACCCACATGCAAGCTAAGACCACTCATTTCACATATGAATAATACACACAGACACAAAAAACTACTTATGTGCTCCTCTGATGTATTTGTAATTAATCCCACTCTCTTTTCATCTGACCTTTCTTTACAAATGCGTATTTTCTCAGCAGCTGTCACGGAAAAACACCCCCATTGTCCTTCCCCAGGTACATGATGACACAGTCAATTCTTAGTAAGCCTGTGTATGTCATCCTGAGCTCTAGGCCTGAGTCATCTCTTCCCCAGGGGCTGGATCCTCTCTGATGCTCAGTCCATAACACCCAGATCAACTAAGGTCACCACCACACGCCACCCTCACACTGGAGCAGCACCATGTGAGGTGGATGGAGCACCAAAGAGAGGAAGAAAGCTCAGGCTGGAGACAATGGGATCAGCATGGGATTAGCTATTTTACTGGCCCAAATGAACCACCTTCATATGCTTCAGTCACACTCTGTCATGGAGTGGATTGAATAGCTCTGTTCTACTCTACTCTATTCTATTTGATTCTATTCCATTCTCAATTATAATTATGTGTAATTATTCTTTTTTTAAATTAAACACCTTTGTGGCTTCAGTACTCAGTGGAAATAAAATGCCTTGTCACCAATATACCTAAAGCTTTCATACTAACTGACACTAACTGGGAGCAATTCTGCAATAATGATAAATTCTGCAATAATAAAGTGCGTGTGTGTAGGGGGGGCATGGATGAACTTTCTTCTCTTTACTTCATATACTGCACTATCTATTACATACCAATGGATATTAATATAAAATCAAATAAATACAAAGTGACAAATGTATTTTTATTGCCTAACAGACGGGGTTGTATTTCTTTAAAACTGAACTAATCCGTTTTTGGTTTTTTTAATTAAAAGAGGGTCAAATGATTGTGAATGTGAACCAACTCTTAGAGTTCCCACTAGCTCAGAGTACTGTTTCAGCATCTTTAAGCTCATTGTTTTGGTTTCCACAGTTTTATTGTACCACAATCAGCATACTTTCCAAGCACAGTTCTGTTTTTTGCATATGTTATTATACTCTAAGTGCTCTAATGAAGTAATTATGTGTATGTTAACACTTCAGACATCTACGTTTTGTTTGATTCTACATGTTCAACTCAACCTTCATTTAACACTTTATAGATAGCTTTAAACAGCCACAAAAAACAGCGTGCAATAAATGACAGCAACTCTCCAGTCAACACCATATACAGTAATAATCAGTGATGAGGGAAGAGCTGACACATGAATATGATGCAGCATATGTAATATTAAATTTTTTTGAAGGCTGTGAACAGTGTGTACCCATTACTGAAAGACAGGTTTGCTCAGGGGAAAAAAGTATATACCTTGATGATAATTTGTTTCACCTCATGAAAATTACATTATACTCCGATGAAATACATTTTCATTTATTACACCTCCTGTGTTTAGTAGCATCCTGGTGATAGCAGCGAGGAATTGTACAGATTGTCCTCACACACACACACACCATGCATCCCTGGGTTAATGGGTCAACCTCAAGGTAGTTTCCTGTTGAGTCTGTCTCTTTTATCATCATCTATTTCTTCAGCCCCACACTCCTTTTCTCTCTCTGTCTGTTATAACAATGCACTTCATCCTTCCATGCTAATTCTTCACTCTTCTTGTTTCCTTCCCTTTCTCAAATCTTAATTCCTGCCCTTCTTTTTATTCCTCTTGAACCTTGCATAATCTTGTAATCAAAATCTGAGAAAAACTCTTCTCTTTCTTGCCTTTATCAGTTTTTTCTCTCCCCCCTATTACAATGAAAAACAGAAAATCCTGTTGATGAAAATCCTGTCGTATGCAAAATAATTGCACTTTACTTTTATGAAAATACCGACCTTTCATTGGCTTTGTTTATCTTTTCTATCAGGTCATTAGTGATTGCAGATCTTGCGTTTTGATGCTGAAGCTTCATTTCAGCCTGATAACGTCCAGCAAACTGTCAAAACCAACAACTCAGGAAGATGTTACTCCACACATACTGTAACTCCAGTGCAGAGTTAGTTTACTAGAAGAAGTTTAGCTGATATCCAGTTATAGTCATATAGAAAGAGAGGCACAGCTTGAATATACAGTACACTCTATTTAATCAGTATTCAGCATTTAACCGGTTTCCATACACAGTTACTGGACATCTGTGACTTACACACACAACCTCTCTTACTCTCTTTCTGTCTCTACACATACACACACACACCAAATGATGTCCTGGCACAAGTCCCAGAACTTCCCATCCAATGCCTAACAGCAGGGGGTTGTGATACACACACATGTCCGTGCTGGAGCATCAAATGTAAACCCATGAACACATTTCAAATTTCTTATGCCACATAAATCATACATTTATTTATTTGAAATAAGATGGAATTATTAATATGACAAGGTTGGGATTTGACAGCTTGTTGTTGAATCTGAATCCCTGAGTCAAATAAACATATTCTGCAGAGACTTTAGTGGTTGTTAGGCTTTCCAGGATATGGAGGCGGGTTTAGAACTACCTTGACTTATAAAAACAGTCAAACAGTGTCAGTGTGCTGTTCACAAGCAGCATCAACCGATGTGAGACATGCCTCACAAAAAAGAGATCTCAGAAGACCTGTGACCAAGAGTTGTTGATTTGCTTGTAGCTGGAAAGGGCTAGAGTCATCTCGAAGACTTTAGATATTCATCAGTCCACAGTTAGACATACTGTCCATAAATGGACATAATTTGGTACTTTGGCTGCTCTTCACAGAGCTCTTCAAGTGGGCGCCCCGCCAAGATCACTCCAAAGGCACAACACAGAATACTCAGTGAGGTGAAACAGAGCCCTAAAGTAACAGTTAAAGACCTGAAGGATTCATTGGAGTTAGTTAACATCTCTGTTCATGAGCCAACCATACACAAAATATTGAACAGGCATGCTATCCATGGCAGGACACCACAGAGGAAGCCATTGCTCTCCAAAACCAACACTGCAGCATGCCTGAAGTTTGCCAAAGACCACCTGGACAATCCACAGCACTACTGGGAAAATGTCCTGTGGACAGATGGAACGAAGGTGGAATTCACACAGACCTACGTATGGCGTAAAAAAAGAGAACCATGTATCAACATGAAAACATCATCCCAACAGTGAAGTATGGTGGCAGGAGCATCATGATGTGGGGCTGCTTTGCCGCCTCTGGACCTGGACCACTTGCCTTTGTGGAAAGGAAAATGAGTTCCCAAGTTTATCCAGGTATCCTACAGGATGATGTCAGGCAAGCTGAAGCTCAGAACAAGCTGGGTGATGCAGCAGGTCAATTACCCTAAACATTGATGTAAATCTACTACAGAATGGCTTCAGAGACACAAAATCCACCTTCTGGAGCGGCCTAGTCAGAGCCCAGACCTCAACCCAGTAGAAATGCTGTGAAATGACTTCGAGAGCCGGTCACACCAGACATCCTAACGATATAGCTGAGCTGAAACAGTTATGTTTAGAAGAATGGACCAAAATTCCTCCTGAATGTTGTGCAGGTCTAATCCACAGCTACAGGAAATGTTTGCCTGAGGTTATTGCTGCCAAAGGTGGCTCAACCAGTTATTAAAACACTGTTGTCATGATTTTTTTCACCATCACTTTGTATGTTCAAAATGGACATGAAAAATCATGACTGTGTTTTATCAGTTTAGTAATATTGTTTGTTGATATTTGTGACTTTGTTGAAGATCAGATCACATTTCATGACCAATTTATGCATAAAACCAGGAAACGTTTAACATATATACTGTAGATATAGATATTTCACCTCTGTCTTTCCTTTGGTCACACAGGATTTTCTCTTCTCTTCTGGCACATCCCACGTAATCTGGAGAAAAGAGAGACAGAGAGAATTAGAGCTGATAAGCATTTGGTTAATGCTCTAATCAGCTGCCTCCAAACCACTGATCTATTAGGAGAACTTCAATGTAGAAAAAGAAGGAGCAGCAAGATGATGTAATTAGGCTTTCCAGTGGAAAACACATTTATGTTAACTTGAGGAAGGTTACATTCTCATCACTGCACACTGATCTGATGTTTTCATGTTTTCAATGGAGCAATTTACTAAGTTTTCTTCCATTGCACTTTGTTACACTACGTATTTATTGATATATCAGCATTTCAACTTCGGCTGAGAATGAAAATGTTTTTACAGCGTTATGTCATTAGGTGAATGGAAACACAGACAGAAAGAAAGCACTTGTAGTCTAAGAGCAACAGTACTACAAAGGAGCTTCAGAAGTAAACTTTATAATGATTAGTTCAATATGTGATAAATATGCAACGTTTCTGACATGTTGGTTATCATGATGGAAACCAGCTGTTTTACCTCTCTCTCAGTCTAACACACACACATTAACTGTCTTCGTACCTTGAGAGGCTCTTTGCTCAGGTCATTGGTGTCCACAGACAATATGGCATCCCTGGCACCCAGGAACATCCTGCCTGTTAAACGGTCCAGTAAGAAGGTGCTGACGTTGGATACGCCTGTCAACTTCTCTAGATCCAGCCTGGTGTCTGTGGACCGTAAAAGAAAGAAGCTTTAAAATTTTTAGAAAACAAGTTAGTGCTGTTGTCAATCACAGGGCATGAATTCTAAAACACACACTCAGGCAACTGGAAGGGACTGAAGTTGACAGAAGAGCCAGGAAGAAACAAGATACACGTTTACGTCCTCCTTTAGCAGTATAAATGTGAGAACATATAGTCAAAAAGAAAAGATGAATCAAACCCCATTTTCCCAGCAAAAGGTTTAAAAAGGTAAAGTGATGGCGAGATGGAAGAGAGATAAGAGTAACCCTTGTATCACCCTGCCCTCTCACGCAATCATGCTACAGATTCACTCTTTTATCCCTCTGAGTCTTTCATTCTTTTTCATACTTCCTCTGTTTACAGTCATATACTTAACAAACTCTGTTTCTATAGTCTTATGTATTTATCACTCTGAAACCTTTTCCCACATTTCTCTCTATTTGCCTTTGTTTCCTACATATTAATTCAGAACCAGATCCGCTGCTGAGAAGAAATACAATAAACTAAATTATGCGCAATCATAACGTACGTATCATAATGCATGTTACTTTTACATAACATGTGATATGCAATCTCAGTTATATTTGTCTCTTTAATCTCAAATCTATCACAACTAAATCCAAACCTTTGAACTGTGTGCCAGGTTTTCTGCTCTCTTCGGTCTCCCTCCTCCTGTCCAGTGCTGGTGAGACAGTGTGTACACAGGCTATCTGTGTTCATATCTGTGTGTGTGAAGGATTTTTTTTTGAAGTCCTACATTGTTGACCTTCATTAACCCTTATAAAAAAGGTCAGACGTTTTCAGAGAGAACAGAAAATCCACAGCGACAGTCTCATTTTCAGTGAAAGTGGAATGTGTGATTGGTTTCTGAGCCCTATCAAACGCACACTCGCAACCTCAGCACAGAGAATGAAGAGGGGAAAACACTGTTACTGATGATTAAATATCAGATTAAACACTGATGCTAATGAGCAAAAACAAATCTAGAAAAAACATATTACACATTACTCTGTATTTGCACAAATAAAAAAAAAATTATACATCATGCCTAATGACAATAACAAAGTCTAGACCAATGTACTGTATGTGCTAACACAAATTTAGACAATGTAATTTAGCATACTGTATTAATATTCACCGACACACACATGGAGACAATTTAAACATAATCTAGGTAAGTTGAATGAGTCAATATTTTTAGTCAAAATCAAATGAATCAAAGATATGTTTGAAGAACTTTAAAAACTGTTTCTCAAATAGAACACTGATAATAAGCAACTGATATGCTGATGGTATATCAATTAATAAACTTCATTAATTAAACTTCAAAGCCTGTCCTGCATCCTTATGCTAAATATCTGTGACCACAGATGGCACTTACAATATAATGGTGAATGCTGAGAAATACTAAAACAGTGGGAAAAGTAGAAAAAAGTTACTAAGCCAGCAAACTGGCTTGGTATGCAATGTGTTAAACTGCCCGAGGGTGTGTTTTGTTTAAAAATTCAACATTTCATTTGCAGAGGAAGACAACAGTTACAAATCCCCATTATCTCTTTTGTAGCTTTATTGCTCTCTATAAACACAAACAGGCTCAAGCCATCACACACACACACACTCTCCTCTACTTAATGTGCAGACATCAAACCCCATAAAAATGAAAAATAAAATATCTGGAGAATCCTTTGAGGATTCCAAATGGAATCTGGGGGAACATGACCCCCAGTTTAGGAGCTGTTGACTAAAAGGATTCTAACTAGTACAATGATCCTGTTATGGAGAACGGGATTCAAAGCACTCTGGTCAGGACTTCTGAAGACTGGCCCTCAGAGTTGACATGGTTTTCCACTTACTGCCTGTCTGTGAAATGTTAAAAAGACCCCAGCACACTGCATCTGGCTGTGACTGAATCACAGACATTTTCTCCCTCCTGACTCCATCCAGTCAGTCTCTTTCCCTTTTTACATTTTACATAAATGTCATTTTTCTTCTACTAAGAAGCCATCTGCTCATCTAAAAGCCTCCAGACAGTCAAACAGCAAGCCAGGCACTGATTGGCTCACAGAGGGAATCTACTTCCTAAAAATCATCCAGTGCAGAGAACAATCAGAGACCCACTTCACCCAGCTCACACTCTGCTCAGACACAAAAACTGCACCCACAACCTCAGGCACAGCAGAGTGGACAGTATCATCACACACAGAACCAGATTTTACAACAGCTTTTTCCCTGCCGCTGTAAGACTGATGGCAAATACAAAATGTGACAAACCTGTGCAATAACCCCTCATTACCCTAACTAAGTAGAATACCATATACAATTCCACTATGCACAATACCATGTGCAATATTTGAAACTCCCCATTTTACCTGCTATCTTATTCCTGTATTCACAATTTTACAAACTATTTGGTATTCTTGGGTATTCTTGTTTCTTGTATTTTGTATTCTTGGGTGATCTTATATTTAGACTAGGTGCTCGTTCGTTTGGCTTTAAACTCTTTACTTGACTCCAGGAGAGCCCTGCACAAGAATTCCTATATGCCTAGACTGTCTGTTTATGCATAAATGGCAAATAAAAATCTTGAATCAGTGTGAGCAAGGAGATAACAGATGCATATGACAGGCAGAAACAGACACACACACTTGTTTTGATGTTCCTCAAATACAACATAGCTGCAAATACTGTATAATGTGTATTTGTGAAGTGTTACCCTTGTTTAAAAGTTGTCTAGTTTAGTATCCTTCTTCTATGTTCATACCCTGAGCTAATGAAATAAACACTTTCCTCCTCAATCTGTCAATCCAAACTGACTTCAAATGAAAGTTGGAGTTAGAGATCTCTCAGCTCAGCCACACTCTCTCTCTTCTGTTTTTCATACTTTTGCTGTCATATCTGTCGTTTCATCATCCTGCATCACTTCTTCAAATTCATTTTACAGCCTGTCCCCTCTTGATGGACTGATAGACACATATGTACACAGACATGAATGGTAGTGACACAAGCCAAAGGCAAAGTCTGGAGAGATGTCCTTGTAAGCTGGTCCTCGCCTGCTGTGTAGGATATGACAAGACACACACACACACAGTGCCACCACCTGCTGCACACCCTAATGTAGCGAGATGATTCCTATGCCATACGCCATCTGCCCTCCTCATACACAGCCGCACACACTGTACGCCTCTGACCCTACACCTCCAGGGACACATTAAAAAAAATGCCCTACACATGGCTCAGAAAAGAACTACAACATAAAATTTCTTGTTTACTGTCTCCTTCTGGTCTTTTATCTCCATGATGGCATCATCACTGTCTGTCAGAAGTACAGTTTGATTTGACATGTGTCACAAGAGAAGTGAAGGCACAGGTTTGGTAAATGCCTGCTCTTTGACAGCAGGAGCCTGCAGCTCTCCAGGTGCCAAATATCACCTCCTGCCTGCTTGCCTTTCTGAGACCATTCATGTGCAGGTAGTAGCAGCACACATGTTGCAACAAGCAAGAGCAGGTGAGGTTTTAGTGTGTATACATTTCTTAAATTAAATGAAGTAAATTTGAATTTAGGCCAAATATTCACAGTCTCTTTCATTTTAGCATCTCCTGAGGGAAATATCAGGCTCCTCAACTGCTAAATGCTCCACTGTGTTTACCAGGTAGTCGCCAACATACTGTAGTGTTAAGTGGGTTTATGAGAGGGTTTTTCCACTGAAAATAGCTGAACACTAAATTGACCGAGAAAATGATTTAGATTGTGTGTCTGGATAACCTGGCAACCTTTACAGGCTGAAATAAAAATCACACCCAGGGTATTTTTTTTCTTTTTTTAAATCGACTGGTATGAGTATAAATGAATAAGGAGTCCTAAAATACAAAATCCTCTCCCCTGCTATGAATCATTCATTCATTATACATTAAACATGACTGAAAGGCAGCCCAGGAGAAAGACCAGTAGTGTGTGTGTGGCATGTTTATTAAGGGTTTAATAAACTGGCTTTTGCTCTGGGGGATCTACCCAGGTCTCTGGCTGGAGGGCACTGTGGGATTGGACCAACCAGGAAGTGATAAATTATACACCTCCTTCCTTCATCTGTCAATCATAACAGATGAGATGGGGAGAAGAGATGCAGAGAGGCAAACACACTCCTGCCCCCACAGGCTCTCAACACATGCACACACTCTGTCAGCCCCTGTGGTGAGACAGGACACAGCTGCATGATCCGCACAGCCACACACTCTGCAGAATCGCACATTTATAGTGCTATCATCTACTCAGTGCCATTTTCCAGCTGCTGTTTCCTCTGAATTGTTTAGCAGCAGTCGGTGGCAGAAGTACGCCACAGGTTAAAGGAATATACCAGCTTTTGGTCCCATTAGACAGCCTACCTATTAACAGGCTCCCTTGCTCCATGCTCCATGCTAACGTTTCACTATGCATTATAATGAGTGACAGCAAACAAGTAGGATCATCCAAAGTAAAGTTTGACTGTGTTTTAAATGTGTATTTTTGTCTACAAAAAATGGAATAAATAATTACAACCAAGGCTGATGTTGACGGGATGGTTAGTGTTTCATATGAACAAGTACATATTCTTCCACTGTGCAATTATTTAATTGGTTGTAGCTGTACACTTTGTGTATCATATTTCATATAGACTATACTATTAGTCCTGCACCAGCACATGGCTGAACATCAACTTAAAAGTTTCTAATCGACAGATAAAAGCTGAGGTTTTGTGATATACTTGCTTTTTACAAACATATACCTGGGCAGCACAACATGGCGAGGCTCAAGGCGATGACAGAATAGTTCATAATGAGGCCAGAAAAAGTGGCAGGGACATCATAAATTTGAAAATCTTCAGCTATTGTTTTGTTCAGACTCTGCAGATGAGCTTACTGTACATTCTTTCCCAGCTTGGGAAGACATGTAGCAAAAGATTTGACAGTGTGCTTAACCATTGTTTCCAAGTACAGCAATCATGTTAATGTATAGTATGTATGGCCAATAAAGGTGATTATCCTTATAGTTACTATATCTGAAGGCATCATCACTCAGAAGAAAGGTTCTGACTAAAGTATATTCTGTTTATGTTGTAGAGATGTGAGATTTATTTTAAACAGTTCATATTAATGTAATTCACAACACAAAATAAAGTGCCTGTTTTATTATCTAGACAAAAAAAATGACAAACATTGACCTTGTCTGTGTGTGTAATGTTTGGTTAACCCTTTCTAATTGTTTCTAAGCAGTTCATTGTCTTTGCTATGATTGATGACAAGTCAGCTATTCAGGCGTATCCTGTCGCGAGAGCTGTTTCGAGAGTGTGTTAGAGTAACAGTGAAAGGGAGGCAGCTCATCAAAGGGTGTTTCAGAATATACACTGAAACAATATAAATACACTGGCATGTATCTGTTGTTTCAAATATATCTCTCAATTATGTTCTTCTCTTATCTCGGACTTACAAAATATCATATAGTCTTTAATGTATGTGTGCCTGTGTGTGATGGAGATCAAGAGAGAAAGAACAAAAAGAGAAAGGCAAGCTTCCTCTTGTCGTGGCCATGGTCAATTTGAAGTCAACAAATAGACCTTTTAAAAAAAGGCATCAAGGCCGCATACTTGTTACAGCTACAGTTTAGCTCCTGTTAGCATCAGCTGCAAGTTACCCATGCAATGGGATTCTA